GCCCTCCCAGGGCAGCGGCTATCAAAGGCAAGTTTTTACCTTCCCCACACCAGCTCCCAATGACATCTGAATAAACACCTTCCTTCTTTGGCTTGTTATCCCACCCTCTTTCTCTATTCTGCATTTTTCAGCCTGTACAGTATCCCTAAACTCCCTATTTCCTTATGTGTAAATATATTTCTATTTCTTCCTACATATCAGTTTCTCTGTAGCCCTATTTTTACCCAAGATCATCCTTCTCTCTTGCCCAAACCTTACTGATTCTAGCATGGAAGTGTAAAGAGCCTTAAAGATTCTTCAAACTTTACTTTGGAAAACATTATCCTGGAGATTTCAAGGTTCCACTTTTTCCTACTTAGCCCTAACATGGAACCAGTGTGATCACCTTTCTTCCCTCTTCACTGTCCAACCAACCCACTTCTGACTTCTCTTTCTGCCTTCCTTCTTTCTAGTATTCAAGTCCTTTTCTCCCATAATTCTGTTCCCCTAAAAGAATACCCTCTAAAACCCATAATCCAGACTCATCATGTTGAGATCCTCTGCCCCCTGTACTAAACTTTTTTTTCCTATGTAGTGAATTGTAGCATGAGTAAAGCAAAGAGACATCTGGAGGAACCCCCTTTGCTTCCCAAGAAAGTTTACATCACTGAGAAAGAAAGGGATCCTCCTTGCCTCCCTATCCTCTCCTGGTAAATCAAAACAACCAACTCTACAAGTGCCCTTGGTACAGCCACCATTGCTTGTGGAAATCCCCTCCCCCTCCACTCTGCCCAATCCAGACTCCAACTGCAGAGTTTCCCAGGGACTTAGCTTTCCTCTGCCCTGTCCCAACAATTTGCCATCTCTTCCTTGTGGCCTCAAGAACTAGTCCTCCTTAACCGAGACGTCAGAGTCCTCTCCCCTTCCTTCATCAGCAACTTCTCAGGGCCATAACAAAAAGAAACCTACCTACCTTTGCTGCAAAGCTAGCAACGGGGTCAACCCTCGTAACATCAATTTGAGTAAGGCTCTGTGCCCCATGGCCTGTGCCTCTTGTCCCCTACATCCACCCCAAGAGCAGCTGCCTCAGTTGCCGTATCAAAAGATGAGACTGCCTAGCAATATCCACATAGCTTGGTCAGATGGCCATGTCCCTCCTCAACTCCATCAGCCTTCAGATTCTCTTAACTTGCATCACCAAGCCTCCTGCTCCTCCTAGCTCCCCCAGTCTTTCCTACTAACTTTGCTTCTCCATCAAAATTTTACAGGTTCCTGCCTCTGCATTTTGCTTCTATTTGGAGCCTCTGGATGATTCTTGGGATTAGGTTACCCCATTTAATCCCCCGGTGGAATCCTCCAAATTTCTTTCCTACATACTGTCCTCTTCAGTACTACGTGGTGACATCCCCATCCAATCTAAGTACCCCTAAACTCTGCTCCACTGTGCTGCCTACCATCTCTCCCCAAATAAAGCTTCCTCTCTCCCAACATTCAAGGACAGGACAGGTAAACAGAAAATTAGATGACCTTTAAAGTCCCTTCCAACCTGGTAATTTTATTATCGACCTAATCTAATCCCAACCCCGAATACATACCCCATTCATTTCCCCCGAAAAACGTTTCAGCAGTGTGACTTTGAGAAATAGCCTTCTAAGTTGAAAGAACCACGGGCTAACCAGGGCAATGCAAACCTACAGTTGCACCCCCAGAAGTCTCACCAAACATTTCTGCAATTGTACTCCACCTCTGTGCCACGGGGACTGTCTCCAAACTGCCTTGAGAGTATTCCGCTGCCGCAGAAGTTACAGGGTCCCCTTCCCACACTCGCATAAAGAGCCCCTAAACCGTGGGCTAGACGCGTCCTCACCAAGGTACGCCTGTCCTTACTGTCTACTCTAGAAGACACCAAGAATAAATAAGTATCACCGCATCGACAGCTTCGTACAGCCAACACTGAAATTTTTCAAAACAATAAAACAAAACCAGAGTGCTTCCACTGCGGGGGGGGGGCGGAATAGAAGGGCACCCCCACCGGCCTCCCAGGTTTGCAGTGTGGTTCCCTCCCGCCTTTCCCCTCGACCACGTCTTTGCCTACAACAATCTCCCGCACCTCCATAACTCGAAATCCCCAGCCGAGGTGCGACCGGCTCCTCCCAGCCTTGCCCCGGACGTCCCTCTGGCCCAGCCTCCCTCTCGGCGGGACCCCAGCAAGGAGGGCCCCCTCCATCGTCCAGCTCACCTCCCGGTCCCTTCCCGGGCCTCTGGGCACCCCCGCAGGGCTCTGTCCCGAAGCAGAACCTCGAGGAGCCAAGCCCACGAGGCCCGTCGCGGGACCCACCCCCTGCTTCCTTCTCCCAGCACCTCGTCCTCCATGCACCCGGCCCCCGGGGCTCTTCGTCGTCGTCGTCCCGGCTCGTACCGCCCCCCGTCGGGGGCTCCACCCCCCGCCTGCACCCGCCCCCAGGACGGCCCCCTCCCCACCGCGCGCCGCCGGCGCCCTCTGCCCCGGCACGGGACTCCCTTTGGCCTCCGTTCCCCACCCAGAAGCGGCGGCGGCGGCGACGGCAACGGCTGCGGCGGCCCCAGCAGGAGCAGCAGCGGCGGCGGCGGCAGCGGCAGCAGCGCCGCCCCGGCCCCGCCCCGCCGCCCGCCGGAGCCCCACGCCCCGCCCGCCCGCCCCGCCGCGGGACTGCTCCCCCCAAAGCCCACCACTAAGCCCCCCCCCACCCCCAGTCCCCAGCCGCGATCCGTTCGAATCCAGCTCCGCCAGGCCTGCTGTCCGTTCCTCACGCCCCTTAGGACCCGGGGTGGGGGAGCCCTGGGGTTCGCGGCCATCCCTCTCCCTCCTTCTCCAAGGGCTGGGGGATTGCCCCCGATCCCGAAACCCGGCCCAGTAACCGGAGCCTCCCTCCTTGCAGCCCTCGGCTTCGCTCTCAGACCCCTTGCCTCCAGGCCTGGCGCGAAGCGGGTGGAGAGCTTGCACGCCGGATCTCCCCCCTGGCTTGCCGGGGCTAGTATGAATTGCCCCCGATCTCATCCTCCTTCAATTTAAGCCCCCTCCCCGCCGCGCCCGGCCCGGCGCCCCCGCCCCTAGAGCGAGGGCAGCGGAGCCAGGGCGCTCCGAAGTCATCCCCCGCCTTTTTTCCAGGGACTCGGATAATTGCCCCTGCCCCCATCATAGCACTCCCACTCCCGAACCCAGGCCCCGCCGCCACCTAGGGGTACCCCTTACCCTACGGTTCCTGCACCCCGACACCAGGGAGAAAGCAGCCCTTAAGAGCACCCGTCGCACCTCCCCTCTGAGGTTGGAGGGTATTTTCTCCTGGTCTCTTCAGGACTTCATCACGGACAGCCCCCCCCCCCCAAAAAAAACAAGCCCTTTCTCGCCCTGCCCTGCTGGCCAGCCTCCCTTCGGATCGTCGGATCCTTGGATCAGGGGGTTGGGGCCAGGTAGTTAACAAGACCGTAGCCTCCACCTCCCTTTCCGAGGAGTGGGGTAATTCCAATGGTTCCCCCCCAGGATCAACCCGACCCCCGTTTCCATGGAGACCCCCGCCCAGCCGGGATGAAGACTCTCGGATCGTGGCGAACAAGTCTCACCTGGCTAAGGGAGAAGGGGTGAGGAGGGGGTAGGGTAGGGCAAGAATGGGGTACGAAGGTGGAAGTGGAGGGGAGCTGTCCCGAAGGGAGGGGCGAGGACAGAGCGAGCTCCAGGGAGCGCTACGTCCGGGGACACGAAGAGGACGGCGCCCCCGGGGGGCAAGCAGAGCGGCCGCGGGGCGAAGAAGGGACAGGGTTGGGGAAAGGCTTGAGGTAGAAAGGAGCGGGTGGAGGATACGAGAAAGCCGGGGAGTCAAAAGGGGTGGAGGGGTTGGAGGAGAGAAAAAAAAGACGCACCTGTTCCCGAGTCGGCTCCGCGGGGAGGCTCAGGCCGCCACCCGGACTCCCTCTTACCCCCTCTGAGCCACCACCCGCCTAATACTGCCCCGATCTGATGCCCCCTCCGCCCCTTATTGCCACCGACCTCCTTCTCCTCTCTCTCGGCGGCGGCGGCGGTCGGACTCTAGGAACTGAGAGGAAGAAGGGAGGGCTCAGCAAAGCGGAGGAGAGACAGAGCCACACACTGGCAGCAGCCGCGGCGAGCGAAAGAGTGAGGGGGAGAGCGGTGTGTGTGTGTGTGTCTGTGTGTGCGAGCGAAGCCTGGTGGAGTGGGTGCCGGTCGCAGGGCTCGACGGGAAGTGGAGTCCGGTCGGATTCGCGGGCGGCGCCAGCCACCGCTCCGCGGGACTACAACTCCCAGAATGCCGCCTGCCCGGGGGGAGGAATGGGGAGGAGGAGGCGAAGGGAGGGAGAGAGCAAGAGAGGGAGGGACGAAAGCAGGGAGCAAGCGGCGGCGAAGGGGGCAGAGCCAAGCAGCCCCGGTGACACTGGGAGGGGAGGGGAGGAGGAGGGGATCGCTGCGAGGACCGAGCGGATTCCGGAGAGGGAGGCAGCGGTAGCTGCAGCAAGCCGGGCAAAAAGCTAGACTCCCAGGAGAGGCGGAGGCGCTCAATTCGAGAGGCTGCAGGAGCTCCACGCCCCCCCCCCGTACGCCCCACGAAGGGGGAGGTTGAGGAAGGGAAATGATCAGTGCACCACGGCCAGGGGTTTCTCTCTTTCTTCCAACGCTCTCCACCTTATGCCCCGACCTGACTTTCTCAGGCCACTGGTGCTGGATCCAGTGTGCAAATCCGGAGACCCCAGATCTCCCCTGCCCGGCAGCACAGAGCAGACACATTCAGTCCCCTTCTCCCAGGGGCCTGAGGGAGGCTCCCCTTGCTGGCAGGGCGTGACTCCCCCCTTCATCCCGCCCCCCTCATCGCCACCCCCCATCTCCCTCCCCGGAACCCCTCCCTTGAAGCCGGGGCTCGCGTCTCCCTCCCAGCCAAGAAAGGGACTCCCTCGGGGGCGACTACCCAGCCCCCTCCCTTATACTGCGCCCTTACCCACCAGCATCCCCTTCTTAGCGTTGCCCCCCTCACCGAAGTAATAGTGGGAGCGACCCGAGTTGGACTGGTGGCTACTTTCCCTCCGAGACTAGCCGTCCTTGGCCACGCCGACCCTGTGTAGAGATAGAGAAGCACATTAATTCTCCCGTTCCCCCCCCCTCAAGTTCGGATCCCCGTGGAAATGGCTCACAAGGAAAGAGGGGTTGGTAGTGGAAGTGAGCTGGGGGTGAATCCCAATCCTCAAACCTCATCCCAGGCGTGGAAATCCAGGGATTCGTCCCCATTCTTAAAAGCCATCAAATCGCTTGGGGGGGGCGTTAGTTGGGGGTAGATTATCTAACCCCCAGTGTCCATGCTACTCGAAGCAACGCTACATGTAGGAATAAGATAGGAACTAGGCTGCCGCCGCGAGAGGAAAAGTATTACCCCCCCTGCCGTCGTCCACCCCCAAACACACAACCCTAGGAGAGTCAGATGGCCGAGCAAGGGGCGGGGGGAGGCGGTGGGAGTGCTGGAGAGTGAAAGGGTTGCAGCGGGGAGGGTCCGCGGCCCCCTGAGAGCAGAATCCAGATGCTAAAGAGGTGGGTGGGGGGGGTGCGGCATAATTGCAGACAGTGTCTCTCCTAGCTTTTCCCGGAATCGCCACCGAACACCGTCTAACACTCGTAGTTGCTTACCAGTCAATCCCCTAGCCCCATTTGTGCGCTTGAGGCTGCCGGAGCCCGGGAAGCCCGGGCACAAACTCCGCGGAAGCTGGCCTTCGCCGCCGCCGCGCTGCCGCGGGCCTCCCTCTCTCCGCTGGCGGCCCCGCCGATCTACCTTCGCCCCCGGCCGAGGCCAGACCCCGCTCGCAACTCCACGCCCCTACTCCACCCCCGGCTCCCCCTCCCCTCGCCCTCTCCCCGCTGGTCCGGCCCAGCCCCTAGCGCCGCGCCGCCCCGCCCTACTGCTCGGTCCCGAGCCCAGCAAGTGCCCCGAACTCGCCCCCCGCCCCCACGCCCAGGCCAGTCCGGCCGGGCCTGGTTTCCCCCTCCCGCCGCGCCCCGCCCCCGAATCCACGTCCTACTTCGCCACCCAACTCGGCCCGATCCGGGTTCGGCCCGCGCCCAGGCCATCGGAGTCCCCGGTTCGGTCCGGTGTACGGCCACCCACCCCGCCCTTGCCTGGGTGCCGGCCTGGCCCGCTGCCTGCGCCCGCCGAGCCGACTCAGGCGCGCGGTCCTGGTCCCGGTCCCGGTGCCGGCCTCGGTCCCGGCGGCGTTGCCGCGTCTCGCCACGAGGGCTGGGTCCACGCAAGATCCGAACCCGCGCGGGGTGGGGGCCGAGGAAAGCAAGTTTCTTTATCTTCTCTCCGCCCCCGCCGCAGGGCCGCGCCGTCCCCCCCTTCCCCGCTCCCACGGAGCCCCCTTCACCTGGGCAGAGCCCCTCGGCCGCTGTCGCAACTTTGCTCTTCTCCACGCTGCCGGGGAAGCGGGCGAAGCGGGAGGAGGAGGGAGGTGGAGGGGGGTGCTGGGATCAGGCCGCTGGGCTCCGGGAGGACACGTGGGGGAGGAGGGGAAGGAGGAGGAGGAAGGGGGGGCAGGCCTGCAGTTCTCGGGGCTCCCCCTGCCAGCCCCGGGGAAGCCGGAACCTCGCCGGGCAGCCGCAGACCCCGCACTGGCCACGGGGGAAGAACGGAGCCACCTTCCCCGGCCAGCCCGTGGCTCCAGGAAGGAGGGGGGGCGAGCAACGCCGCTTGGGGTCGGAGAGCAAGCGTTTTCGCTCGAGCTTTATGTGTGGCTCTCTCTTTCTCCGTTTAGCCTCTGTGTATGCGGGGGGGTGGGGTCTTGCCTGCGGGGGGGTGCCCCCACCGGACGCCCCGCCCCTCCCCTCCCCCGGCCCCCCACTTCCCTAACCCGGGCGACCTCGGTGCGTGGCTCCGGCACGGGCACCGAGGCCGCCCGCGGGTGCAGCCCCAGCCCCGGCGCCGAAGTGGGACAGGTGCTGGGGAAGGGAAAATGCCGGGGCTCGCTGTCTCGCCTCGCGTCTCCGGGGCGGCCCACCCTTCGTGGCAACGGCCGGGTCTGCAGCCCCCGTGGGCAGAACTCAAAGGGCAGCCCCCGGCCTGGGCGTGGAGGCATCTGGGGGGGGCGGGTAGGAGTGAGAGGCCCGAGGGAGGAAGGAGGAGGGGGACGAAAGGTCTGCAAAGGGGGGAGCCTGCACGACTCGGGCCGAAAACCTGGCTCTCTTTCCAAGGCTCCTCAGTCACCAAACTGAACCCCTTGACCCTTACCCTTTACCCTAACGACTCCTCTCCTGGCCAAAGGAATAAATCCTCGTATGTGTTTACATCCCAGGCTATCCCCGGCACTGAAGGGCTGAGAAGCCTGCGGTCCACATTGGAACTCTGATGACTTTACATTAACTCTGAGGAGAGCAGCTTGCGATGGAGCTGAAGCTGCCGGGCGGACTTACTTTCAGTCTTAGGGTGTTTCTTAGCAGCTCCAACCCTGACTTGGTGGTGGGGACTTCAAAGGCATCGCCTCAACCTACAGGGTATTAGGGGAGGTGCCCTGCAGTTCCTGGAGGGTTCAGGGCTTTGTAAACGGAATGTGAAATGAATAGCAGGAATTTGAAAAAAAATCTTTAATGTGCAGATATATTGATATTATTTATTATATATTTATCTATACTAAGGAAGCCAGAGGGTGATGTGGACTGGAAGGAAGCCCTGCAGGATTAATGTCTTCCTCCTCCCCCTCCTCCCCGCCCCCCTCCTTTGTCCTAGGCCCAGAGGTTCCATCTCTAAGCTGTGGGGTGTCTTCTCTCCTCTCCTTTGGAAGGACTTTAGAGATGGCAGTTGAGACTTGCCTGGTATGTCTCCCTCACCTGGTTTGAAGGATGTGTGTGAGTATTGCGGAGGAGGGCAAGCCTCTAAGGCTGCAGTGGCTTTGCTGCTGGATGAGGCCTGGTGTTCTATGACCCCTCTTGCTTGTCCTCACCAGCGTCAAAATCTATTGCCAGCAGTGTGGACATACCGCTTGCCATTTTACTTTGCTTTGGGAACCTCTTCACTAGCTGTTTTACTTGACCACTCCTGCCCTGCCATGCACCCCCCACACACCTTAAAAAGTGTTTGGCCTAAGTTGCACCAAGGGAAAGTGGAGATTGGGAAATGATTTGTTTAAGCTAATCAACATATGAACTCGAAATGCATTATTAAGGGGGGAAATTGCCTCTATCGGGCCTGATAATGCAGGCCCCACCACTTCTGCTTTGATTTAAATTGGCTGTCTTCACTGATTTTAATTAATCTGGTAATTACTAAATCTCCACGTCTCTTAAGGCCCTTAGGGCCTTAGGGCTACTTTGCTCCTTGGTTTGAGGCTGAAACAGATTCTGGACACCTCCGTTCCCACTCGTCTGTGTCTCACCATTTGGCTGCATCATTTATCTGGCGAAATAAAGGTTGGGGCAAGATGGCTATTTCCTGGCTGAAGCCCTAGCATTTCTGAGCCTTTTCCTGTTGGGGGGCCACACTTCCTGCCCTACAGGAGATGATGGGAAACCAAGGAGCAGGGTGGGGAGAGCTGTGGGAAACCTTGTAAAGAATGTAGAGTTTAATGATTCTTTTATTTGAGGCTAGAACCACAACATCATCATAATAATACCTTACCTTTGTACAACATCAGAGTGTTTACAAAGCCCTTTCGCTTGTGTTATTTCATTTGTTTCTCACTACAACTCTTGATGTTGTAATTGAGGAAACTGAGTCCATGAGCAGCTATGAGTGGCTTGCTCAAGGTCATATGGCTAGTGAGTGCCTGAGCCAGGATTCAACCCCAGTAGTCCTGTTTCCACATCCGGAGCTCTTTTTAATATGGAATAGCACCTCCATTTCATGTCAAAATATTCATTTTCAGGCAGGGTTGTTTTTCTAATTGTTTCTCCCATCGATAACAGCTGGACTCAGAGAGGCAGCTTGGTGTAATGGAAAGAGGATTGTTTGGAGAGTTCTAAGAATCAGATCCCAGTCCTGTCTTGTCGCTAGCTAGCAGTGTGACCTCAAGCAAGCCCTAACATTTAAGTAGTGCCAGCCTGATGCCCGGTACTGTATTTTGGGTCTTCCCCCTGCTCTAAAATATGGAAATCAATGCACCTGTCATACCTCCCTTACAGGGACACCCCTGAGCATCAGATGAGATAATGGATGGGAAAGAATTTTGTACACTGTAAACCACTGGGCTCATGCAAGACTTATTATTATCAGCGTTGGCACCACCAGCCTCCCTAGGTGTAGCTCAGAGACCTAGGGGTGACACTGGCCTGGGGCCTACCTTCCTGAAGCTTACCAGACAAAACAGGGCATTTGGGGGGGGGGGTCCCAGGATAATTTAAGCTCCAAACCAACCTCTGGCTAAATTCATAGGATAATTGCTTTAATTCTCTGCTTTGTTCTGCAATCACAGGCCTTGTCTCTCTGGTAAAGCAGCCCAGCCCTATGACAACAATAACAACAGTAAAATCCCGGTGGTTTAGATCTTTAGAGTGTCAGAATGAAGCACGTTTGAAGCTTCTGGTCATCCCTTCATCCCCTGCACCCCAGTCAGTTGAAGGTGAAGTCACGTTTGGAACCCAGGGTCTCAAGACTGCTGAAGGGCTCATTCTAAGTCACCCCAGTTGAAAGCAGACCAGGGGAGATCGGGGTACAGAAAGAACCTTGCAAACGTGGGAAAAGAGTGGGGCTGGTACTAGGTCAGCAAGACTGACCACGAGTTACAAACACTATGTGCTCTCAAGTGTTTCACTTTATGCTCTAGGAGGGGCCACAGGGGAAAATTCATTGCCCCCTATTCACGTAAATCTCAAATGCACAAACCCTATTGCAGCAGGTTGTTGCTGGAGAAGCATGCCAGCGGCTCACTGCAGCTAAGGAAGGCCTGGTCTCTGCCCTCTCAGAGCCCGGGGTCTAGATGGGGAGACAGTATGTCTGGTTAAACTTAACTCTGTAAACAACCAACAACCTTTCTGGATTTTATAGCCAAAGGGGGGGAAATGAGGAAGGGGACTAAAATCACCCCAGAGGTCTCTCCGGGTCAAGCCTCCCCCCTTCCCTAAGACTCCTAGGCACTTAACAAGGTTCTTAATCAAACAGACAGTGTTAGAGGTGGAAGGAACTCTAAGAAATCATCTGCCCTCCTGAAAAACTGGCTGTGGCTGCACGCTGCCAACAAAATCAAGTCCATGAGCCTTCACCTAGCTTTCAGGGCCTTCCCCGATCCGATTCCAGCCTCCTTTCCTCCCATGTCGCTCACAGGGCCTCTGTTCTCACCAAACTGGCCCTCTTGCCATTCCTTGGACAAGAGGAGCGCTTCCTTGACTGCTCCCTCAGCTTTGTCTTATGCCCTTCTCAGCAATGTTGAAATGCCACTCAACCATTACTTAAGCCAGCTCTTTCCTGCCACCTTCCCGGATTCCCCACTCCCTGACCCCCACTACCTCCCCACTCCCTCCTTAGTGGTACCCCACAGTACTGAGCTTGTCCCTTTAGTTAGCACTTCTATGCTCTGCCTATCTAGCTCTCCAACCAGATTTTCCCTTTCTTGGATGAAGGAACCCAGTATTTCTCATCAGTGTGTCACAGCTCCGTCCTCTCCTCCAAACATCCCCCACCCTGGCACGGAGTAGGCGCTCTATGAGTGTTTGTTAAGTGAATGAATGAATGGATCATCTAATCCAACCCTCTTATTTTATAGTGGGGAAACTGAGGCCCAGACCTGGCTTCCCTTCTAGCCAGTTATTAAAGACTCAGGGTTTTTTTTAAATTTATTATTATTATTATTTTAAATTTATTTTTGGTTGCGTTGGGCCTTTGTTGCTGCACGCGCACTTTCTCTAGTTGTGGCTTGCGGCAAGCAGGGGCTACTCTTCTTTGCGGTGCGCGGGCTTCTCATTGCGGTGGCTTCTCTTGTTACGGAGCACTGGGTCTAGGCGCACAGGCTTCAGTGGTTGTGGCTCGTGGGCTCTAGAGCGCAGGCTCAGTAGTTGTGGCGCACGGGCTTAGTTGCTCCGTGGCATGTGGGATCTTCCAGGACCAGGGCTTGAACCTGTGTCCCCTGCATTGGCAGGCAGATTCTTAACTGCTGTGCCACCAGGGAATTCCCAAAGACTCAGTTTTAAATCTTGGTCCTTTTTAGTCTTTCTCTTCCCATTTAATTCATGCAGTCTCTGAAGTTAGACAGATATGATTTGAATCCTGGCTCCGCCACTTCGTAGCAACATTACCTTGGACACTCGACTTCCTTCTGAGCTTCAGTTTCCTCATTTATAAAATGAGACCTAATAAATACCTCCTGAAAATGTTCTAAGGATCAGATGAGTTCTTGTATGTTAAGTGCTTAGAAAAGGGCCTGGCCCCTAGTAGACACCCCATAGTAGTTTGTTTTTTTTTAAACGTGAGGAGTTTTTAAAGAGTTCAGAACTTCGGAGCACCTGCTTAATTCAAGCCTGGGAATAAAAGCTACAACCTGAACATAAAGAAAAAGAGAGGTGTATTTTTGAAGAGGAGAATGGAATAAAATTTAGAAAGACCTTTGAGTCAGTCGAACTATTACCTCTTCCTCCAAAGAGGCTAAAGAAGATTGAGAATAGCACTCAGTCCAGTGG